CAGGTTCGCTTTTATTCCTATTTCTTGAAGAAAGTTTATTCCACATCTTCAACAGGTTAAAATAAGGCATCTACAATGAGAAATATTACTTTGAGTAGCATATGCCTTCTCAACATGGAATTAATTCAGGCTATATGACAAAATATTTACCTTCTATCAATAAAGAAATGTAGCTTATAGTGAATGCAAGAGTCATCATCTACAGATAATGGTGGGCCGGGGATTTAGCTCAGAGGTTCTGGCAACTGCCTCACGAGCCCAAGGGCCTGAGTTCAATCCCCGGTACCAAAAATAAATAAATAAATAAATAAAGATATAACTATATCTTTATTAATATAATATAATAATAAAGAAATCTTGAAGCAAGTACTATATATATATTAACATTTTTATGACATTGTCTATATTTTTATGCTTTGCATGAATAGTCATCAACTACTAAATTACTGTGTGTGATTGTTGCCAGAAACCAGACATTAACATGATGTCTTCAGAAAGAAAGAAAGAAAAATTCAAATTTGTCTGACTTGCCCCTCAGAAACTTTCCAGAAAATGTGAGTGAACCATCAAGAAATTTTTCTAAAGTAATAGATAAATAGGGGGAAATTTCTCAAATGGATGTTCACAGACATTAAGGGACTGTGCCCGAACCTTTAGGCAAGAGGAAGGAAAGAGCGCAAAAACACAAGGTAGGGAGCAGGGAGCACGGGGGCTTGGCTCTGTGGTGCCATATGGACTCACTGGACAAAAACCATCTGGCGCACAACATATTGTTTTAGGAGGAAAAGTGTTGCCAGGTCACAGGACTTCCGGGATTTTTCTCTATCCCTTGAGCAGGCTAGCAATATAGTTTTCAGCACACTCTTGGTAATTGCTTTTATCTTTGGGATGTAAATAGTATATCTTAACCAAGGAAGGCAGAAGGATGTTATCTTTACCCACTGACCTTGACTAAAATTCTGGAAGAATAACCCTTGAGGAAAGTGTAATCTCACCACCAAAAAGTTCGAGAACACGTTATCCTACCCCCTCTGAGAGATGCAAAATGTGAAGGGCAGTTTAAAGGCCTTGAGTCTAATTTTATTTGAAAAATAAAATCTTGTTTAACCCAGGATTTCTCATATTTATTTAAATCACGGATACTTTTTGAGCTTGCATTTGGAGACACATTGACACTGAGAAAAAGGGAGGCAAGGGCTTTTTGTTCTAGAAGTACCTCAAAGCTTCCAGAACCGTCACTCAGAAAGGAGAAAATAGAAAACAAGTGCCGGTGCTCTTGGGAAAGGCCAGAAGGCAAGCTACTCTGCCAAGGAGGTTAAGTGTCTCTTTCTGTGATCTATATTGTATACGTACTTCTTCAGATTAATTTTCCTTAATAGATATGCACTTAAACAACAAAGACTCCAGATTAGCTGTGAGAGGCGCCCTCATGCCAGAAGACTGAAATTACTGAAGCCAACCTTGACTTTGACTCCTCTATAAAAATCCCATCCTGAATGACTAACTCAAACTTTGAGAAATACATATTAGATTATTAAATTCTGAAGTCTTTTTTTATATGGCGATGGGTAAGGTCAAAGGGACGGGGCTGCCCCTAAAATAAATGAATGTTCTCTTACACCTATGATCTTGGGAAGAGGACAAATCATATCCAGGAAAAGAAGGTGTAAATCTAGAAGGGAAAAGCTTTTCCCTTCTCTTGGTCTGTGAAAGGTTGGGGACTCTAAAGAGGAAAACACCCAAGGAGATCAGGAGACTGCCTCCCACTTAAGGAAGATAAGTAGGTCCTACAACACAGTTGCTGGCAGATCTGAACAGAGGCGCACCAATGGGTATGCCTGTGATGAATGGGTCCAGATGCCGAGGGCCTGCAATCATGGCTTCTGGGACCTAACCCACTTCCTCTACTCCCATACTCTTAATTTCCATTGGGGGCTTGCAGGTAGTACTTGTGTCCGTGCCAGGATGAAGTTGGTCAGAGAGAACAACAGAGCAGGACACTGGCCACGAAATGGGGAAACAGCAGAGTGCTCAGGGTTCAGTGGCTGGGTTGGGCAACCACCAACCAGTTGACAGAAGTGGAACTTATAAAACTATTTAAACCAAATGGAGTCCCCATGATGATTACACACCAGGGTGATGAATCTGAAACATTTCAGATATATATTCAATATAAGATATCATTTTTATGTTTATCTGATAATAATGTCTCTAATTAAAATAGCAACTCGATACAAATACCCATCATTACTCTTCATGGCCAAGGATGACAGTACAAATGGCACTGTTTATTTCTACAAATGCTGGAAAAATTTTAAGGGAGGGACTGACCAAAGGAAATAGAAAATATGACTGTATAAAAGACAGTCCTTTAACTCCACCTCTCCTTGGAGATAACTGCCTGTGCTGTTTTAGTGTTAATAAGAAATTATCACCTTGGTTTTCAGAATCACTTTAAAGTCAACAGTGTGTGTGCACTTTGGGCTCTGTCTTCCTGGCCTCATGCAGTCCTCTGGGCCCTCTCACTAACAGCGCAGTAAGAAAGCAAACCATTTCTAAAAATCAAATTGAAGAGTTTTCGCCAGTAGATAGAGAGATAGATTTGCCCTTTTTCACTAAAGTAGACTTTCTAGAATACACACCCCAGAAAGTTATTGTTTCTAGAAGAAAAGCATCCTCCTGCCACTAAACAAACCACAGTGGATCCCCTGTTTTTAAAATTTGTTATAATTTAGCTGTCCTGTGTAAAGGGCAGTGATGAAGACCCATATCCAGCTGAATTGGATGTTCTGGCTCGTTAAAGAAAACCAGTGAGTCATTGGTAAATACAATTTAAAATTAGCCAGAGTCGGGCATAGACAGCGAGGGCGAAACCAAGCAGTGTTAACCCTGAGGACCCTGTGAATATTAACTCAGAGTTTGCAACTCAGTGGGGAGTTCTAGGGACCAATTTGCTTAAATTCAGAAGCTAAAACACCTTTTTAAAATGTCAAATGTGCAGGATATAAAGAAAAGAATAAGGTAAATGCAATTAGCAAACATAGAAAATTGGGGAAAGTGAAATTTTGGCATTTGTGTTTTAACCTCACATAGAGATAAGTAGGGCTGTGAGTCACCTGGCACAGGGACTTCGTGTCCAAGGCTCGCTGGCCGTGGTTGAGGCTTAGCGGCTCCCAGGGAAGCTCTGAACCATTGGCTGCTGATAGTGTTGGCTTTTTCAGTCGCACCAGCTTGGAAGCTAAGCGAATAGTGATGGTGTCCCTCATTTCAAAAGCTGCACAGAGGGCATGATATTTTAAACCCACTAACCATGCTGGTGTTTTTTTGTTCTGTTTTAGCTAGAATGGGTTATTTACATCTTAAGTAGTAATAAGTAAGATTTCATACTAGCATTTAAGATATATAGTAGTTAATTGCACGACATCCCTATAAGGATTTCTCTAAGCTTTTCCATCTGTCCTGGTTTAAGAAAAATATTTTTATCTCTTTGTACCTTGGTTACTTATCCTGGCTCTTAAATCAGAAAAAAAAAAAAAAAAAAGACAGGTAACACTGAGGAAAAATTGGGGTAAAAACTAGAACGTTTCACTCACCAGAATCTATCAGTGGAATCTGTTGATTGAATTGTAACTATGAGGAAAGCTATAAAAGTATCCCAAATTGAAGGCTTTGAGGGGAGACGTTGACCGATATGTGTCAAAGGATTTTTTTTTTTTGTACCGGGGATTGATCTTGGGACCTTGTGCTTGCAAGGCAGGTGGCAGCTAAATCTCAGGCCCAAAGGATTTTAAAATGTGTATTCCACTCCTGGACCTCACCAGTGATGCAAAGATAATACAAGGAGGCCCACCACAGCCCTGTTTAAAGTTACAAGCATTGGAAACATCCAGACATTTCAGCAGTACCATGGGACATTCAGACAATAAAATAATACACCAGTCATTAAAAGTAACGTTAGAAGGGCCGGGGATTTAGCTCAGTGGTTCCGCCACCTTCCTCACAAGCACAAGGACCCGAGTTTGATCCCCAGTACAAAAAAATAATAAGAATAAAAAAATAAAATAAAAGTAACACTGGAGATGACTTTATTAGTAGAGAGCTGGTCACAATGTATTTTTAAGCGAAAACACAGGTTAAGGTTACAAATCCAGACATACAACACAATACCATTTTAACTTATACATATGCATCATATGTGGGTTGAGAAGTGAAATTATATGAACAAAAGTATTGAAGTGGTTATGCCTGGGGCTTGGAAGAATGAATATTTTTATTTTTCTTGGTCCTTTCAGACTTTTCTGTAGTGAGTATATATTACTTTTGTAATAATGGGGGACAAATATTTTCCCCTGTAATCTGAAAGAGCTATTTGTAGTTAATGTTTTAAAATTTAGTTATGACCAGAGAGACTCTTATTTTCCATGACTGGGGCCCCACAAAAATAAGCTGACAAAAGACAATTTAACAGAAACAAAGTTTTCTTTCAGATACACAGGACAGAAGTCACAGAAATTAAATGAACACTCCACAGGGGAGATCAGATCCAGGGCTTGTATATTGTTTTTAACAAAGAATGATGTATTTGTGGAGAACAATATGACAAAGAAAAAGAGTTGTCCTTCCAAGGGCGATGAGTTGAGGGAAGATTAAATAGGGGAAGCTAAAGAAAGGTAAGGGTTATTTTAGAAGGCCCTGTTACATAGATGTCTTTCAGTGCCCTCTCTGGACTGGACAAGAATATGGACTCTTGGTAGTTACATCATTCTGCCCCTCTGGCATGAGAACAGGGAGAGAGACATCTTCATAAAAGGAAATTTATGCACTGCTTTTAGGCAAATAGAAGGGTAAAGTGTCCCTTGACCGCATGTCTTCTGTTCCTCAATTGCCTATGGCTCAAAATAACCCTTATGCCAAGTGGCCTATTTAGGGATGCCATATTCTGATCCTCTTCATGAAACTGGCATTTTTGTTTTGCAGCAATATCTGAAGGAGGTGTTCAATTTTGGAAGGAGGAGCTAATGTGCAAGGAGGTCCCCATGAGGGAGAACTGGCCACTGATTCGTGTCTCTTGATGGCTGTCTCTCCGCAGGCAGGACATGGTCACACATGGTACGTAATGTGATGCTATCGTGCATAATCCCTTTCCCTTATAATCATCATCAGTGCTGTTACACAGAAGTATATCTGGAGAAGAACCAAGTAGGTGTCATATGAATCCCTATTTTTTAAAAATCTGTATAATTGACCTGAATTCAAGAAATTAGAGAAACCCAAATGTGAGAACAAAGAGCTTATTCAAAAAACATTTAATTCCACTTCTTCCAGCCCCGTGCTGAGTGCCCCAGGACTCGCAGACATGAAGCAAATGTGGGCCTTGCTCTTAAGAAGCCCTAGTCTCTGCACAGGCTTATCAAACCACCAGAAACAAGAAGCAAATGCTGTATGTGTGTGAACGTGTGCGCGTGGTGCTGGGGATCCGATCCAGGGCCTCACAGGTGTGCTCCCCAACCTACCACTAAGTACACCCTCAGGCCAAGAGACACAGTCTCAAGAAGGAAGTGCAATCCTTGAGGAGAGAATTTTTGCAGGATTGTGCTCCTTCATCATCTAGTAAGCTGCCCGGCATAACACTACTGGGCTCTTCTCTCAGCCATTCCTGCCCTGGGTAGGTGTAGTGATGACCACTGATACTGTGTGGGACGAGGAACCAGGACTTTGTTCAACCTCGGGGACAAGCCACCCATTGGAGTTTCACCTTCTACTCTGCTCTAGCTGGTGCTCCGGCACAGCCATGGCTGGGGGAGAGGCTTCTATCCACACGCTGCAGAGATAGATCCTAGTCCCGGCACCACTAGTAAATGTGATATTCGTTCCCACACGTGCCTAACTCTATGTTTTCATTCCTCTGTTGGTTTAAAGCTATTTATTGGTCCCCGTGGAATTCCAGCACCACCGTGGAATACCATCACTAGTAAAACCAGGGTGGTCACAAAGCAGCAGATGGCACTGCCCAAATTATCCCATGTTGCAGGTCAGCTCCCCTGGAAAACAGACCTTAATCTCCAGCTGCGATTTGCATGCAGGAGGTTTTGGGGGAACACTCTCAGAAGCAAACACATGTGAGGGAGAACAACAGGGCAGGGCTGGTAGGGAGAGGAATGATTCAACTGTGACACAGGTGTGGCCTCAGCTAATCACATACAAGCTCTGGAGCTGGGCTGAGCGAGGGCCCTCCCTCCTCCCATGGCCCAACATTGAATGTGGCTGCTCCCAAACAGGGCAAGGTGACTCCTGAAGGAGATTTACAGGTGGAGTTCGGAGGCCATCACATACCATCCGCAAATAGAGTGCTTTGTTGGACTATGAGGAGAGTGTGACAGCACTGTGAGCCGATGAAATGTGAAACATTTCTGTTGAAACTAGAACCTTGTCAAAGCCTGAGGACCTACAGAAGAAAATAATACCAGAGGGGACAAGCTTGTTGATGGTGAAGAAGGGCATTCTCTTGGCCAGAGCAGAGTATTACTCCCAGATCAGCTTGAGGAAATGAAGGGAGGAGACTGGAGTCAGAACCCAGTTGGGCTAGTTGCAGATGGGAAAAGACAAGAACTCACCCTGTGGGAGAGAAACCATCCATACTGGACAAACGCTTGCGGCTCTGCAGTGACAAGAAGTGCCCTCTGCTGCCTGATGTCAAACATATCCCAACAATGGCCCAGTGGGAAGAAGGAATCTCAGAGTGGACTTTGAACAAAGACTCCTTCTTTCAAAGACTCCCCTGTGTGAAGACAAGAAGTTTGTAGTGAGAAGAATATGGCGGCCATCATGAGGATGCATCCACATGTGGAGACAGGAAACAGGAAGAGTGGTCTGTGAGCTCTACCAGTTACATCAGTGGAAAGTGGCAAAGGCCTGGAAGTGTAAGGTAAGGAAAGAGAGCAGATGTGAGAGGCACCATTAACAATCCACATAACTTACCCAGTGTTCAGAAAGGATGAAAGAAAGGAATGAAGGAATCCATGATCATTCACATGTTTTAACATACATGTTCCCATTAAGAAGAACAAATGCTAATCATAGTTTGAATAGTTGACAGGCCATTATCAGCATAATTCCAATTGGTTACATTAATCACTCATTCAAAACTCAAAAGCACATGGCATTTGAGTTATTATTGTTTCCATTTTATAAATAAAGAGACAAAACCATAGAGGACTTGTTTACTTTCTCACGATCCCTCATTGGATAAACAACAGAAATGAGAGGTACACCTGCCTTGCAAGAGCAAGGACCTGAGTTCGATCCTCAGTACAAAAAAAAAAAAAAAAAAAAAAAAAAAAAATGAGAGGGAATGGAGCCACAGAGGTAAAGGGGAAAAAGAGTGACAAGTTCAGCTGGGGGATATTTAGCCCAGTGCAATGCCAAGGGACCCAACAGGCCATGCATGGTAGAATGAGAGGTCTCATGAAAAGGCACAAAGTTGAGGACTGTCAGTTTGAGTCCTGAAAGTCCTGCACCAGGAAATCCCTCAGGCTCCAGCAAATTGGGAGAATTGGTCACTCTAGGCTGGTGAAAACATGGATAATATGATGTCTGCCCTTAAGTTAGGGGAAAAGCCAATGCAGCAAGCGTTTCTTCCAGCAGAGGAAAAAGGGTGGAAACTTGTGAGAAAACAGACCCTTGGGAAATCTCCATAGCCAGGAAGCCAACTGAGGAAAATAGATATCGTGCTGAACATTATTAGGAGGATTTAGGAGTCTCAGGACAAACTGGTGACAGCAAGATGTCAAATGCCGCAAAAGCAAGAGGAAAAAAACAAAAAATTAGATTTGGTCACTACAAGAACATTCTAGAAGTTTTAGAGTAGAAGGATATGATCTAATTGTCTCATCTAATTTTCATTATTTCAGTCACGATGGTTTTGTAAGGCATCAGAGAGCTAGATGAAATGTTCTGCCTCTCGGTCAGCCAGGGGCTGAGCTGGGACTGACAGGACCAGGAGAGTGGAGACAGACACAGGAGTGACTTGTAAGAATGTGGAGTTGAGGGGAAGAAGATAGGGAGAGGAAATGATTGAAAAGGCCAAGTGAAAGGAGTCAAATGAGGGAGGAAGGGCTTTGGGGTTGTTGCTTTGAGGTTGAAGGAGACACTTTGGCTTGCCTTGGTGAAGCCAATGGGAAGTCTCTGTGAGAGGCTTTGAGTGAAAAGGAAGGAAAAGGACCCTTCTTCCTGAGAACCAGACAAGAGTCAGTGTGGGAACTTCGAGGTGGTGTCGATCTCCTGGTCAAAGGGGGAAATGAAGCAACGTATTGGGATGACAGGTCCTGGGTCTTAGGAGATGGAATCCCTTCTGCAGGACATTAGTGAAAGGACCAAGGGTGCTGCACCAATCATAAACCAGAAGAGCTGCCACTGCCACTGTAATGCATGCTCTCCAGCCCAGATAGACAGAGTCAATGGCGGGTCCTGCTTTTCCACATTTTTAGAAAAGTGAAAGAAGGTTGTGGATTTGTGAGTGACCCCAAGAGGTAATTCTGGACTCTTACCTAGCCCCTGTGGCACTCGTGCCTTGGTGGTATCCCTTGCTGGCCTGGTAACTCATCTGTGTCCCCAGAAGATGATAAACTTCTTGAGATGCAGCCTCTGTCTTAGTTGGTTTGGTAACCCAGATGCCTTTTCCTGGTCTGGCTTCTGGCAGATATTTGATAAATGTCTGAGGACAGAGAAAAAAGGCGGAGAGAGAGATCGGCTGATGTGCAGTCAAGAGTCTGTGGAAAACCTGACACGTGCACATGATTCATTAGCTGAATGAAGCAGAGACTCGTGGGCTTTAAGACATGATAACTGCACTGCAGCCAGCTGACACCAGCTCACAAGAGCCCACTGTGCACATCGCTTCCCAGCTCTGTGTCAGTGACTCCACTGCGGTAGCTTGAAATCAGCAGTGGTGGAAATATTTACACCATGGACATTGGCAATGCTCTCATGCCTTCTTCTCTTAGAAGAGGTGGTGGTTACAGTTCCCAGCATACCCCTGAATAACAGAGCCTGTGATGATTTAGAGGTTGTAGGCAGTGAAAGGTACATTTGCACAAACAGTATCTCCAGGTCCCCCCTCTGCAGGGGCCACACTTTCCAGATCAGTGCTCGTGCCTTAATTTGTAAGGGCAGGAAGTCCCTGTTTTACTCTTTCCCCCTTGTGCTTATTATTATGATACCTGGGAAGTGTGCAGGGAGGAGGGAAGTTGACTAGAAACAGCACTGTAAAGACCACACCGTAAAGCTCTGGCCAGCTTGGGAATCCCCTGGCATTCCCAGGGGAATATTTCTGTGTGGCCTCTCATAAGAGGAGAGCAATGAGACAGTGGTGTTCTGCTCTACGCAGGGTGCACGACAGCCCCTGTCATTCCGTTGTCCCGCTAGGACGTGATACAGACAAGCACTAAAGGAAACATCTGAGCCCTGCTGTCTCTCGTGCTGAGCTCCACTGGCAAAAATGGTTGAAAATGATCCTTACCAAGGCCAACAAGGCTCCCAAGGTCTTTTCCCACGACCCACCCAGTGCTCTCTCAGCAGGCCTGTCTTGCACACCAACACGGACTCAGAATCCAAAGACATGAGAGCAGATCCAAGAAGAGTGAAGCGGTAGAAAATGCAACGTTTAATGAAAATTCACACTCTGGCCAGGGCCCATCTTCAGTCACAGAAATGGAGGCTATTACACTGGTGAGTATAATCTCTCCATCAGCAAGACCAAAGCCACCTACGGGACGGTAGGTGGCCAGAGCCACAGTACACAGTAGTACTGAGATGCACTTATAGGTGGCCGACTGGCTGCGGCAATGGCTCAGCAAGTTGTATCGTGTATATAATTTATATGCAGACAATTGAGAGTGAGAAAATAACAACAGCTCCATTCCAGCAAAAGAATACCTATACAAGCTAGGGATTTAGCTCAGTGACACCGCGCCTGCCTTGCAAGTGCAAGGTCCTGAGTTCAATCTCTGGTACTAGGGGGAAAAAAAAAAAAGAATGCCTATGCTCAAGAGTCATAAAAAGTATACACTATTAAAACAAGGCAACTGGGAGCCAGGCGTGGTGGCGCACGCCTGTAATTCCAGCACTCGGGAGGCTGAGGCAGGAGGATCGCTGTGAGTTTGAGACCAGCCTGGGCTACATAGCGAACTCAACTACGCAACGAGAACTTGTCTCAAACAAAGAAGCAAACAAACAAAAAAACCAAGGTAACTGGGAACAGTTACCAAAGAAAGGTTTGTCACAAGATCAACTGACCATAATTCTTAAAATATACCTGACGACTTCAATTTAAAATATACATTACGAGGTCTTCTCTACTGATTTAATTTATACTTCAAAACAGTAAAAATTTTCAGGGAAAATTTTGAAACAGAATAAAAAATTATATCAGGGTTAAATTTGGCTATTTAAACAAATCAGTGTATAATATTAATCTAGGACATTTAGTTTTATACTTGATCTTTATTGCCCTTCTATAATTTGATATCTAAGTGATTTATGGTATTACCAAATATATTATAATGCCTGAGTAGTACACCCAAATTTTGAGTTAAATTGTTTAAGCTAGTCATTCATATTCTCTACTAGAGTGTTTAAATGTTCATTAAATCCCTAATAAAAATAATGGAGACATGCAGTAACACCTTATATTCTTAGATCTCAACGGTAAATATTAAATTTTCTGTTGGCCTGCAATTGGTGGCTCAGTGATAGAGCAACTGCTGAGCACGTATGAAGCTCTGGGTTTAATCCCCAGCACTGCAAAAAATAAAATAAAATGCATTTTCTGTTGGATAGATGAAAACTCTAGTTAAGCAGCTAAAGGGTGAGTGGAAATGTATAATACCTTCAGAGAATGCAAGAACTGGTAATCGCGTCTTTCACATTCTGCTCAAAACAGTGAACTTTTCTTAAATGGAGGAATTTGAAGATTGAATTCAAAATGTCACTAATTCCATTCCATTATTTCACTTCTCATAACATAGCTCTAAAAAGTAATTCTAAAAAATTTTAAAAAGCTTTTATGCTCAGAAATGTTCACCTTTCTGGATGTGATAGCACACAAGTGTGATCCCACATTTGGGAGGCTGAAGCAGGAAGATCTCAAGTTGGAGGCCAACTTGAGCCACTTAGACAAAAAAAAAAGTTGACTTCAGACTTATTTTATCATTGAAAATTTTTGAAGTAACCAAAATGTCTAACAACAGCAGAAAGGGAAAGTCCACAAAATGATTATGTGGCCCAGGGTTCAGATCACTGGATCTGGATCATATCTTCAGGGATATCTAATATCAAAGAAGAGTTAAAGCCTTTTTTTTTTTTTTTTTTTGAGATAGCAAAAGGTAAAATTCTGAGGTCTATAACCAATCTCCTGAGACTCATTCCCACTTGGTAGTTTTGGAAGTAAGATTAAGTCAGTCTCCTGTTTAAGAGAACGCCTGTGGTTGACCAGAGAAAAGGGTATATGGCAGGAAACAGTTCCCTGTGCTCGGCTCGCTTATACTCTTGCTGGGCTCATGTGCTGGAAAAGCCTTTTGGAAGTACAATTTGAGGCCTCGTTAAATAAAACAGAGTATCAATGAAGTGCAGCAGCCCTGCAACAGCTTGGAGATGGCCACACATTTCCTCCTAAGTTCCCCGAGCCGTTGCTGACCCTGTCGGCAGCGTATTTGCCACTTCATAACCTGCTTCCTGCATCAGCTGTGATTGAATGGGGAACAAACGCTGCGCGCAGAGCCGGGGAACAGATGGCGCTTGTGCGAGACTAAGACAGCCGGAGCCAAGAGAGGGGACAGCAAGTTTAGAAAAGCTCACCTCTTCCCCGGCCCGGCTTCCTCCTCAGCCTCCTCCTGTGCACCCCGTCTTTCTGCCCTGCTCCTCCCACCTTTGTGAGGATGAAAGATGTTACAGGTTTGAGAGATACAAGACAAGGCTAATCCCAAATCCCCTTTGTGCACATTAGCAGAGCTCTTGTCTCCCGACATAAAATAAAGAGGCGAGGGCAGCTGTAAAAGGCAGCCAGGCCCAACACAAAGAGCGCGGGGCATATGGTGACCTTCCTTTCTCAGCGACGGGTGAGCCTCCCTTGTCAGGCTGCCGGTTGTTCTTAAGTATCATTTGGATGCCATTGTTTGTCTGAGACCCAGAAAAATGTGACTGTCTTGCTGAGCTGGAGGGAGGAAGAATCTAAAAAGGATTTATGGAAATGTCTGGAAATTTTGCCAAAATGTCAGCGTTCTAATTGTCGCCTGGGTTACATCTGAGGCAGCCCCGTCTCTATGTATGGGTTTGAAAGTGTCCGTTTGTGCTTTCTGACTGTCCTGTCCTTTCTGCCTTGTTTGGGGTCAGGATTCTACCATAAAAGTGGCAGGGTACATGTTACCGTGGACGTAGTCTGTGACGGTGACAAAAAGCACACAATTAGATGGTGTAGGGTGGGTTCCCATTTCAAACATTCTGCTTCTGTGTGCGTGTTAGTACACCCCTATTTGTCAGACCATATGTCACCCAGGTTTTTGATGCCAAAAATAAATCAGTATGGGTTCCTTGTGGAAACAAGTCCATAGTAGGCATGGATGAATATTGAGGAAAGAAAGCAAGACCGATGGGAGGGAGGGAGGGATGATTAGTACTAGACAGGAAGAGTCCGAGGGCTCAGACTTTAGAACTTACTGGGCTGTTACCCACTTGCGTGGCACTGAGCCAAGAAAAGTAATCTTCTGAGCCTTTGCTTTCTCCATCTAGAAAATGGCTGGGCAAACCAGTTGCTTTCTGAGATCCATTCAGCTCCAAAACGCTGTATGCCAATAAAAGAGGCTTCAGATAATACTTGTAAGCCCTGTCCTAGGCTCCTGGTCAGATGACTTCATTGTGACTCATCAGATTGACCAGTCTTCTAAGCAAACAGGAACAATGGCCTTGAAGTGTCTTTAACCTTTGTAGGTGGCAGGCCGACCACTGGAAGTGTCTGGAAGCCCTATCTTTAAGGAAATGGTGGGAGAGGGGCCGTGCAGCGACAGAACTGTTTGGGCCCATTGCGTTTTGTTAAGGAGTTAAAGAGTGTCAGCTTTGGGTCGGAGGGGATTACAAGGTGCAGAGGCAAAACTTAAAAGAAACAGCAGGAGTTAAGAATTTGAGCACATGATTTAAGAAAAAAAACTAAGTGAATCAAAATAAATGAAAGGGGGCCAGGGGTTTAGCTTAGTGGTTCCATGGCCTGCCTTGCAAGCGCAAGGACCCGAGTTTGATCCCCGGTCCCAAACAAACAAACAAAAACAAAATATATGGAAAGGAAATATGAGCGATCTGAGGCTTGCATAAGATTGTTTCATAAAAGAAAGAAAAGACATCTGAACCGATGTCAAAGTTGGTCCAACTTAGAAGACAAGAGGGCTACTTTGGAAAATATATTTTACTCACATGTTTAGTTTTACTGGAAAGAGTATTGTAATCTCATGCAGTGAGTGACAAAGAATTTTTTTTTAAAGAATTGAACAGAGAGGAAGAGAATGAGAATGAAAAAAGGAAAGGAGGAAGGGAAGAACATGTTCTACAACGCTTCTGTACTCTTATGTAAAAAATAGAAATGTACATGTGGATTGTCTAACCCCAAGCTCACGACATGGTCTGTTTCTAAAATCCTAGCCTATGAGCTTAGCCAAGAAAGAACTGCTG